CCATTGACGGCATACGTGGGTACGGACATACGTTTCCTGATGCGTACACACCTTGGACCGCGACGCTCGAGGTTCGGCATCGCACCAGCGGATACTGAGCTACTGTTTCGGCGGTCTGCGCTGTCTCGTACGACATGAAGGCGACGGTTACCTGTCCGCGCTCGCAGGCGAAGCGGCAGCCACAAGGGCCGGGCCAGCCAGTCTGGCTGCCGAGGAGTCGACAACAGTCGCCTCAGGGCACTCGCCCGTGGAGGACCTAGCTGCGAGCCTCTCAGCAGAAGCCATCTCTCCCGCCATTCCCGTAGATGGACCTCTTACCGTCAAATCAGCCGGCCGAGCCATCCCCCAAAGGGCACTGTTTGATCTCAAAACTCGTTCCATCAAGAGCATCGATGTGGACCATCTCGCCAAAGAGCTGCCCCGCCTCTACCTGTCCCAGACGCCAAACTTCATCCTTGCACACCACATGAGTGGTGTCTTCAAGAAGATAACCATTTTCGACGTCCGTTCTCGCCTTTCCGAGTGGGAGGCTGCGTCTGCAGAGCCTTTGGGACTCCTTACCGTGCTGCTGCGTCGGGTGCTCGTCCTCGCCCGCGAGAGACACGATGGGAGACTCGAGCTCACGCGCGGCGAAGGAGAAACGGCCATACACGTGAGGGAACAGACGCCTGGGCTGCCGGGCGTGCTGTCCTCTGGTTGCGAGGCACGATGGAAGGCCTGGCTGGCCGGCGACGGCGATGACAGCGGAATCGAGAAAAAAGATAACGCTCACGGGGCGGATGATGAGGAGGTTGACTTAAGCTGGGTTGAGAATGACGACGACTTCACTGCATGCACAGAGAGTTGTGGATACTGCGGTTATTGTACATATTAGGGTTGTGAGAGGTTGCTCGGCGTGATATGCCTGGCACATGGTTTCGATATTGGCATGCCGAGCGTGTTGCAGCTGAATCGGATCGCCGATAGGACAGTCTATGTTCAATGGCAATCGAAGATAGGTGCTCTCATCGAAGACCCTCGTTCTTTGTGTGGTCGTGTACTCAGGCTGCTGCGTGCTGTAGCTGATGTGATGGTCAGTCCAGATCGTTACTGTCTTGGGTGGCACCTGGAATACGACATCGGAGGTGCTTTGGCAGGCAGCTCTCGTACAGCTGACGAAGTGACTCAACTGCGTGGATAACGATGCCTTCGAATGCGATTCGAGAAATGCCATCGGTCGCTTCCGGGAGTGTGGTCGATCAAGCTTAATCAACTTGTTTCCTGGTCCAGCATGATGCAAAAACTGCTAAGCACCATGCCGCTGTTCAGTCCGAAGAGGCGTCTTGCCCTCACCATATTGAGCATACTGGCCTTTCCCTCCTCTCCAGACAAGACCAGATTTGCCGCATGCCGCCGCTCCTGCAAACTGTCCGCGAGCCACTGGCTTCGAGTGTGCGGCAACCAGCTCTCCTTGGGTAGTCCATGACTTGGGTGAGTCTGGGTGTCCGCCTTGGCGGCGACGTATCTCGATCAGAAGCTTTTGCTAGCAATCCGCATCGGCGCGCGTCCGCCATGCCCAGGCTTGAGACCTCCGCGGTATCGCAGCTCGAGAAACCATGGATGCAACGAGTGATAGCCCTCCAGGCTGTCAGCCTCAGACGTGTTCGGCCCTATTGGCTGGCTTGCGCACAGGAGTGTTGACCAACGTAGTCGAAGGCCGAGCATTGGGTCTTGCGGGCGCAGGCGCCTGAAAGTCTGTTCTCGTGCGGTAGAAGCATGAAGAACGCTGGACTGCGGCATTTCGCACTCTCCAGGCCCATTAGGAGACATGCTTGAGGGCTAGCATTGGAACGGGACAAATAGAGCCGCTGGTGGATCAAACTTGGTTGGTATTGGGGGCGTGAGAGGGATTGTTGGGCGGAAGACAAGTTGTAGCTAAAGTAGTGGGTCCCGACTAGAATTACAACATGCGGTCTCCCACATCAGTGCCATGATACAGACTTGTGCGACTAAATGACAGCGGTGACCAAAGAACTGATATGAACAGGTCGCACGTCGAATCAGTCATACGGCACCCGTATCACTATATGTTTCACGTCCGCATCAGCTTGCCATCTTCGTCAAGCCAAAGACCGCTGGCGACAGCCTCCGGCTAGTATAAAGAAAATCAGGTAAACAAAACCAGGCTGCCGTCGAGGCATTCCCGTCGAGGCATTCCTTCGGCTGAAGCGAGATCAACCTTGAGGGATACAGCAACGGTCCTACAAACGCTAAATTGGTCATCACCATGCAGACCAAGCACACCCTGTCCGATAACGCCATAGCAGTTGGTGCTGCTCCAAATATCGCTGCGCTCAACGCTCGCGCGAGTGCATGTCTCCCGTATTGCCTTCGTGCCACTCCACCCCGTGTCCTTGTGAGGTCCGTCTACCCACGGACCCTGTCTCCGTAAACCTTTCATTGCCGCTTAATCCGGGTATCTCTGTCTGTAAAGTCTGGTCCCTCTGAAGGGGGCTTCATCGCGCAAGTCGCCGTAAAGACTAAGCATTTCGCATAAAATCGTACATCATGTCGCTCCTCGTCCAGTCTGATAGGCATTGATGCGCACCGGTCAAGGAGCAGGTCCAGTCTGAGAGCTACTTCCGCTGCCGTAGTTGTGAGGGCTGGTCAACGAGGCGGTGCTTGCCCCTGGGGGTGACGCCTGCCGACCAGTCGAATCGCTCTGCCCGGCATTGGTGCCTTGGGGCGAAATCATCGTCGCGGGGAGTGAAGATGAAGCCGAGCTGAGACCTGCGGAATCGTATCCAGAAACGGCCGTTGGCTGCGATGGTCTCGAGTGGGCAACCGCATTCATGATGTGCTGAAACGTCGCCAGATTGGCTTGGTTGTGCGGAGGGAGTTGGTAGATGGGCGGTGGGGTCGGCATGTTGGCAGATGGCACGGGATGACTGGGGGGAGCCGGAGGAACGCCAGCAGCAGCGTTGCTATTGACCAGGTTTTGCGCGTTCATCGTCGGAGGCTGGTTATCCGCCCCCATCTCGTTGCCGTCGGCATCCAAGACCTCTTCTTCTTCAGTACCTTCACGCTCTTGCTCGTCAATCTCGCCGTAGGGACCCTCGATACCAAGTAATGTGGAGCTGCCACCGACGTTGGGCCTCATCAGGGAATTGGTATGAGAGTCTGCCATGCGGGAGGCCGACGGCGCGTGGCTGCGCTGGAACCGAAGGGGCCACTCTCTCAACGATGCGTACTCATCATCCGTGTTGACGTAGTCGCGAAGACGAGAAACGCCAGCGCCCGAGAAGACGCAGAAGACGCCACGCTGATGCTCAGTAAATTCTGAAAGAACCAAAAATGTCAGCAAACTGATCGACAAGTATGACGGTGGAAAACGAACCTGACGGTGGAGGTCGGCAGAATTTACTGAATTCCTCTCTCAAAAAAGCGGTGACGCCCGTCAGACTAAGGTGGGTAAGTCGAGGGCAGTAGTTGAGTAGCTTAATAATGCTCTGCAAACTATCAGTACAGGTATCTTTCTTTTAGGTTGTCCCATATCAACTCACTTTGAGGGTAAGGTTGGTGCAATAGCTGAGGTGCACACGCTCCAGGCTGGACGCGTAGTACTCTTCGCCGATGACAGCACCATAGGCGTCGCGGCGAGCCCGGGGCCGGTGATTAGCGCGGGCAAGCGCGAATACGGACTCATCAGTGATACTACTGCACTTGACGAGACCGATACGCTTGAGCTTTGGCAACTGGGCGAGGCGAACGACGGAATCATCGGTCAGAAGCGTGCAGCATCCGAGATCGATATATCGTATTCTATTGCAGTGCGCCACGAGGGTTTTGACTGCCTCGTCTGTGATGTGGCCGCAGTGACCCAGGTGCAGATAATGCAAGTTCTTACCCAGCTTTGCGATGGCATGTACGGCGACATCGGTGATGTTGCGGCACTTGGCCAGGACCAGATTACGAAGACGAGGCGCGGCTTCGATGATCTTGCTCACGGCGGCATCAGTCAGGCGAGCGCACGAAGTCAGATCTAGGATGCGCAAGTGATCATATGTCTTGCCGAGGGGCAGGTTCAGGAAGGCCTGATCATCAATCAGATCACAGCCAGCCAGGCGCAGCTCGCGGAGGGACTGGCCCTTAGCGACCAACGCAGTGATGGGCTCATTTTGGATTTGGTTGCACTGGTGAAGGTCGATCTCGAGGATGTTAGGGCAGTTTTCGGCAAATGCTTGGATCGCGACATCCTGCAGCTGGGCGCACTCGTTGAGTTTAAGCTGTGAAACACGGAAATTAGCATCCGTCTCGGGCGGGGAAGCGATGAATGGGCAGAGGAGGGTAGGCTTACTCTCTTGATGTATCTGCAGCTCTCTGCCAGAGCGATCATGCTCTCGTTCGTAATGTGACGGCAGCCGGAAATATTAAGGCCCTGAAGTCGCTTGCAGTACTGAGCGATGGTTCGAATAGAGGCATCCGTGATGTTCTCGTCTCCCGAAACATCTAAAGCCAGGAGAGCCGTGGCGTTCTCAACGAGAGGCACAAGGCCTTGGTCGGTCAGGTTGCGGCAGTTCGTCAGCGTGAGGCGCTCGATGCGGCTGCAGACGGAGAGCGGAATAACGCTGCCATCGTTGATCTTATCAGCGAGACCGCTGGCAGCAAGGTTCAGCCGCTTGATAAAGTCGCGGTATGCGAAGAATGGGTTCTTCAGCTGCAGAGTCTGGCAGATGGACGAATGGTTCCTCCAGTTGGTGCAGGCGGGGCGATGCCACAATAGATCGACAGCATTCTTGGCCCAACGCTTGCTGACCAGCATACAATGAAATAGGTCGGATGTGGTGTTCAGCTTGGCAAAGACGCTGATGATGATCTCGTTGGGCAGCAGGGCTATGCCAGTGAGACACTCGTCGTCCACGTCGCTGACCTGCATGTCCTCGATATTTGGCACGCCGAGGGAGGATACAGAATCGTTTCCGCCGTGGAAAAAGTCGGATTCTTCGTTGTCAGCCGGAGCAGGCGAGTTTGTCGATGAAGAAGATCGAGAGTCTTCAGGGTGGAGGGGCGCGCCACCGCTGCCCGACGACTGGGCGGCTATCATATCGAGGGATGGAGCCGATGGCCGCATAATGGGCAAAATCGGGTGGCGGCAATCAAATGCCAGCCAGACTCGACGAGTGATCCGGAAGCTGAAGAAAAAAGGACGTCCTGGTGAGGATAACGCGCCAAGAAGATGTCGAGGTCGTGGATGGTTCGGGGCTGTCGGTGTCCAGACGAGGCAAGGTGAGGGGGAATCGAGAAATCGGTATTTGTCGTCAGGGATAGCTGCACGTACGAAGCACCGGGCGCGAGGTTGATTATCTCTCGGTGTCTTTGGATTATCGGTGGTCAGAGGCGTCGGGACCAGAAGCTTCTGAGCTCTCTGTTCAGAAAGAAGATGAGTCGTACGGGAGAGATCGTGGGTTGGGCTGTGTGGTGTTGCCAGGAAGAGGGACGGCAGGCGAAACCTGGCGGAGTCAGTGGGTAAACGCCCGGGCGACACACGTGGGGCTCTCCTCAGCCTCGCGTCCACTAATGGGTGGTACGTACACTATGTGCTCTTTGTTGATCTCCTGAGGTGCGGGCTGGAACGCAGTGAATCACAATCACCAGTGCCCTTAGTGCAGATGCATCTGGCTTGGCCAGGAGAAGAGGGCCATGGTCCTCAAATAGCAAATTACATGGCTACGGATTTTCTGATAATTGTTTTCATTTTCACTCCTTCCTCTCGCGAAAGATGTGGATGCTACGATCGGTACCAAGTTCCGGGGCCAGCGAGTAAGTGCAGTCTAGATTTCAACGATGGGTACACATTGACGAGTCGGTAAAGGCAAGGGACTGGGTAAGCGGCGGAAGGGCAGGGGCAATGACAGTGGCACCGGCCACGCCGAGACAGGAAGGGCGCCTGCTCCCTCACCGTCGGATCGAAGCAACTGCGCTCCACATTGGCCACCCGCACCTGGCCAAAGCAGGTCGGTCCGGCCGGCCTACTTAGCAGCGTACCTAGGTAGGAACGGGACGCGACTGCAATGAGAACCATCACAAGAAGTGCTTGCAGCGCATCAGGACTGTGACTATCTAGGTACCTACCATAGCATCCGTCAGCAGGTCAGTCAGACTGCTGGGCATTTTGACGATGACGGAAGAAGGGCCCATGTCTCAAGAGGGGGTGTCATGTTTGAATCCGGCCGTCACCTGGCTACACATCACGAGTCTCTGCTTTGGGACGACTGTTCCAGTTCATGCCGTCCCGCCAGAGTGTAGACGAAGCATTCAAGCCGTCAGAGTATGTCAGCATCTCCATGGCGATTTTTAATGCGACTCTTGCTTCGAATGGTGTACATGCATCCGCGGTAGGTAGACTTTAGTAAGACGCCGTTCTGACCCCCGGAGTCCGATGACTGCACTTCCAGCGACCACTTCGAGTGACGAGTGTGCTTTTTTCTTTGTCTTGACTGCGCATATTTCAACACTCGCCTTCAGTATCCGTTGGGGATTGCAAGGCATGTTTACAGGCAGAATGCCGGCCAGATCGACATTGCGATCAGCCCAGCCCAGTTACCTGGATGCAACGCCGTGGAGGCCGGGACGAACCGCCACCAGTCAAGCCACATGAGGGGTCATCTCTATTGGCCTCGACACCTGCGCTTCCCGACCGGCGACTCCATCGTGAGATGGCTATGCGGTGCAATCAGCGACGCTAGGCCTTTTACGGATGCGCTAAACCGTCGAAGCCATGACAGGTATCTGGAGAGATGGACTGTGATCGAATATCGCTTTGCTGGAGATTGCGATTCTTAGCGGTGAAAGCGTAGTCTGTCGTCAGAATTTGATTTCAAACTTACACTACATACACCTAGTTATTACACACCATGCTCCCGAGATCAGATTGAATCAAGGTTGCCAATGTGTTCCTGATTAAAAATGTTTTCGCAGCATCGACATGTAGAATCGAGATCGCTTCGTAATTTAGCCATCGAGTATAGTAGCCCCGTAAAATAGATAGCAAACATGACATCTTCATAGTCTCCCATGCCTAATGTATAACGAGGATGACAATCAATGGCCTGGATCACATGATCCTCGTTATCCAAAACTTGACCGTCTACCAGTTCTGAAAGACTTATACTCCGAACTTCCTTCAAGTGCTTGACTAAGCCGGCATTAGTCTCGTTTCAAGTTGCAGGAACGTCAAACCTATTGTATCTGATGCAGTTGACTGATGGTTGTGTTTAAAAGCTCATTGTTTCAAAGCCCCTTGTTTGCTCGACACATATAACGGTTGTTCATATGTTTATGGTTGTTTCAGGTGTCAACTGAAGAATGACAGCTCTGGCAAAAGGGAAAAAAAGAAAAAAAAAACTGCTATCTCTTTGGTTGTGTCAGGCAGTGTATCATAAAAATGACCATAGACGTTGAACACCGGGAAGATGTCAGCGACCTCATACTGCCCGGTCCTACTCACCTGTCGAGGCGAGTCAAGGTGAGTTTCAACCGGAAGCTCGGGGAAATTCGTTTACAAGCACAGTTGAGCAGACTTAATAGAATTTAACAGTCATTGCAAAATGCAACAGTTGGTGTGGTCATCCCAGGACGCAGGACGATAGCTGTACACTGAGCCAACCTCCACAACTGGTACGTATCTGTCGGGATTGTACATTTCCAAGCACCTGACCTTAAGGGAAATCGTTAAACCACAAGAGAGTCACGGGAAGATTTTGAAAATATTGAAAAAGAAGAATGCGTGCTGCTTCCAAGTGTTTCTTAAGAGTCATTTTCTTTGATGTGTTCACAATGGGTGCTGAACATGCAGGAGATTTGGGTATCACTTGAGATTTCAAATATTTCGAGAACACCTCTTCCCAGGATGAATATAATAGTATTGAAACCCATGAGCCTCCTAAAGGAAATGTTCCTAAAGGGAATGTATTTTTCCACTATCGCCCACGTCACAGGCAAGCGTTGACAGCGATGTTGATGATGTTGGGGGGCTGAGGGTAGTAAACGTTATTAGAGGTCACATGACCACGACGTCATTCGGCAAGGGCCCATCTCTTCGACGATGCGTGGATCATCATACCATGGGAAGAGCTTGTCTGCCCAAGCTTTCGAATCGCCGTCCATCAGCACGCCTGTCACACCACCTAAGCGGGTCCTTTCCACCTAGTTTCCGATGCGGCTCAGGATTCCACGACGGACCTCTTTACCTGCCTTGGAATCTTTCTTGCCCACTGTTACCGGAATATTTCTCTTCTCACACCTTGTTTGACACCCTCCGATTAAGCCCAGTATGATGCGCAGCGCCCCTCTCCGCGCCCTTCCTCGGGCTGCCGCTCGCACGAATACCCGGAGTGCCCCTCGCCGAACCTTCCTCCGTGCCCGCGACCCATCACGTCCCCTTGAACGACTGGATATTGGTCGCCTATCCCGCGCTCGCAACGACTACGACCGCGACCGTACTTACTTCCTCGCGGCTGGCGCCCTCGCCGGTGCCATTGGTATCGTATTCACGGGTACAAAGCTCTACAAGGCCATTCAGGCAGAGAACAACAAGAAGCGCAAGGCGGCCGGCGAGCCCGCGGCGGGAGTCACACAACTTGACACCCCCACCGTACCCTTGGAGACGTTCACGACCGACGGCGGCGTCAAGCGCAAGGTGGTCGTGCACGACGAGGACGGATATGAGATTGTGGCCCACGGGCAACAGCACTGTGCCCGACTTTCCGCGCCACCTCGAAGTGCCTTCCTCCCCCGATGCGAGCCAGGCCGCTCAGCCCATCGCCGCGACGGTCCAAGACGACGCCGGCGTCGAGTACACCCTCGTCGGTCTTGGGCTGCGCACTGTCAGCTTCCTCTCGATCGGCGTCTACATTGTCGGCTTCTACGTTGCGACAGCCGACATTGCCAAGCTGCAACACCACCTCGTGAAAAAGGTGAACCCCATCGCCTCGACTCTCATCCCGTCAGAGCGCGATACGCTACGCCAGTCCCTCCTCGATCCGGCCGAGAGCGAGGCGACGTGGACGCCCTGCTGCAGGACCTCCAGTGCCGCAGTCCTTCCGCATCGTGCCCGTCCGCGACACCGACTTC